AAAAATAACTGTACCTTTCTCACCTGCCACATAGTAACTACTCATTGGCTATCATTATTACAACCAACTCAAGTCTTACCTACCAAATGGTCTTCCTCAAGATACATCCTACAGAAATGTTCCCTCATCTAAATTCCTTTTACTCCATTCATTTATTTGCCTGACATCATCCCCTGAGCTCTGCTGTGTGTTAGTCCCCACTATGGGCTTTATTTATATCATCTAATGTCATCTTCACAGCAGCCCTCTGGTGTCCAAAGGGACCAAGTAAATCAGGTAACTGGTACACAGGTTTTTCAGCAGGGGCAACAGCAGTGTCAGAAAGACAGAGATGGCCACAGAGAGTAGGGTGCATGGAGTAGGAGGGACTAGAAAGAGGAAGGCCATGTTTTAGCATCTAACAAGCACATGGACTTTCCCCAACCTCCTCATTTCAGTAAACGGTATCTTCATGCTAGAAGTTGTTCTAGCCTAAAACCTTGGCATTGCCCTTGACTTCTTTTCTCCTCTTAAACCCTACATTAGCAATTCATTTCTACACTAAATTTATTCATAAAATACATACATGAGGCAGACCTGCTTTTTGTCTCTTCTCCCACTGTCACCCTAGTGCATGCCACTCTCATGTGTCTCATCTGGGTGACAGAGTAGCCTCCTGTCTCCCTGTTCTTACTTTGGCCCCTTCCACTCCCCAGTCTGTTCTCCACACTACACTGGGAAGGAGTCTTTGAAGAGGCTCAAACCTTCAATAGCCCCCACCAGTCAGAGACTGAGATCCAAAGTCTACCCTGTGCTGTGAGGCCTACATGACTGTCCCCTTACACAATTCCTTCTGTTACCACTCTTCCCTAGGATTACGTGCTTTGGTCCTATGGCCTTCCGCTCTTCTTCAAATATGCTAAATACACTGCTGACTTGGGCTTTCACAGTCACTGTTTCCTCTGCATCTGAAGGAATATTCTCCTTCAAAATACCTACCTGCCTCACCCCCTTACTTCATTCAGATCTCTGCTCAAAGGTCTCCTTTTTAAAGAAGCTTCTCAGCACACCCCAGCTGAAGCAGCCCCACCATCCACGCTACCATATTTCCATTTTATCTCCTTGGTAGCATATTAACAATTCCTGGCATCACATGTCTATCTGTTTGTTCATTTTTTGTCTGTTGCCTAACAGGCTCCTTGAGTCTGGGAACCTTGTCTGGTCTGTCCACAGCTCCATTCCTAGTGCACTGAACAGCAGCACCTAATGCTCAATAAGTATGTGCTAAATGAACGAAGGAAGCAAGATAAGACTATAACTTTGGTGTACCTTACAGATCAATGTAGGAATTTTTGGCAAGGTTTGGGGAAGGTTCTTCTGGCAGTTGGCAACTGTGTATGGAAGATCTAGCTGTTTGAGGACATTGTTGAAGCTATTAAAAAGTATAAAGCTACAAAATATTTCAAACTTTATGTTATTTAGGGGAGAACAGACGTAAGTATTAACAGACAATAACATAACGCAAGTAAATGAGCTAGGAGGACTCTATCAAAATAAAGGGGATTCTCATATCTCTATGTCCAGCCCAACTCTCTTCCCAAGCCAGTACTTCCAACCATCCACCTGATGATATCTATACCTGGATGACCCACAGGTGTCTCAAACTACACATGTCCCAAATCACGACTAATCACTTCTCTCTCCTTAGCCACAGCCACCACCTACTAATGCTTCCTCCTCCCGGGTTCCCAGACTATTTTGATAAAACAATGAGCACACAGTCAAGTAAGCCAAAAACCACCTTCCAGTCACCCCAGGGTCCCCCTTCACCTCCTCAACACTCAGCCATTCTCAAGATCTACCTCTCAAACTTTTTGCAAAGTCATACCCTTGTCTCTTGCCCCTTCTCTGACTTGATGCCAACTAAGTCTTCTTGTTCCTCCAATCAACCTCCCCATGGTCAGAGAGGTCTTTCTGAAATGTTTTCCTGCCTTAAGTCCATCAGGGACACCTTCCATCCCCGACAGGATAAAATGCTCATGTTGTGACAGGGCTATAAAGGGTGCTCTCCATAGAACAGACACTGCCACCCTTACTATCCTCATCTCTCACTGCCTTCCCCCTATTATACCCTAGCAATCCTCTCTTCTTTGGAATGCCTCATGTTTATTCCCTTCATACACTGGTACATGCTAAGGACACACTCTACAACACATCCCCATCCCTATCTTGTCAAATGGGGGACTCTAATGCATGCTGCAGCCAGCTGGGGCAGTCCCACCTATGTCAATCCCCTCCCACACTATTCTGACATCTTCTATACTGTTCTTCCCTAGTGCAGTAGTTGTGATTATTTCTCCACACGTATGTCTCCCTCTCTAGTGGCAAATTCCTATAGGGTAAGATCCACAGATGCTCAACTCTGAGTCTTCAGCATTAGGTCTGGCACATAATAGGTACCAGATACATGCCTGTTGAATTAAAATGGCCTGTTCCTCAACACATCTTGTGAAGGATCTTCCCTCTAACTCCATATTATTTAAATAAACTTTTTCATGAGGAGTGGGGCCTCTCACCTTCGGATCTTTGCTCTGACCTGTCCCCCTCCTTGGTACATCCATCTTTCCGTCAACTTTATTTTCTACTTCAGTCCATCAGGAAGCAGGTTAAGGCCCTCAGGCTCACCACATCTCCAACTGCTCACACCTCAGGGTCTTCGCACCTGCTCTACCCGCTACTTGCAATACTCTCAGATAGTCCCATGACTTGCTTACCCCCTACCTGCAATATTCTCCGATAGTCCCATTATTCAAATATCCCTGTCCTCCCTTAGGAAACAGTCCTGACATCACATTTTTTTATCTGCGCTTTTATTGCTAGTGGTGCCCTCCATAGGCACATCAGTTAAATGAGGGCAGGCCTGTCTCATTCACCACTGTATCTCCATGCCCACAGTAGTGCCAGTAACATTCATCTAGTTCATATTTTTTGAGCACCTACTGTGTGCCAGACCTAGGTGCTAGGAATACGTGAGGGAACAAAACAGATAAAAAATCCCCTCACTCATATTCTACAGGGAGAAGAAAACAATATGCAAGAAAAATACATAAAATATAAGTGCTAAGAACAACTGAAGCAACGAAGGGAGGCAGGAAGTGAGGAAAACCTCACTAGGTGACCCCTAGTAAAGACCTGGAAGAAGTGAGTGCAAACTACATGGATATTAAATTGCAAGCACAAAGGCCCTGAGGCCAAAGCACTTCTGACATGTGGAAGGTGAGGGAGCAAATGAGACTGGGAAAGTAACAGTGGGTCTGATTATGTAAAGCCTTATAGCTCACAGTAAGGGGTTTGTCTATCATTAATAAGATGGGGACTCACTGGAAGGATTTTTTTTTTTTTTTTTTTAATAAAGGAATGGTACAATCTGACAGCCTGTGTTTTAAGAAGATCCCTCTAGCTGGTATGCTGAAAATAGGAGCCAGGACAGAAGCAGGGAGACCAAGTGGCAAACTATTTCAATAATCCAAAAGAGAGGTGGTGACTTAGCCCAGGGTGGCAAGCATTATTTGCAGTGTGAAAAAGAGAGGGCTGGGTGTGGTGGCCCACACCTGTAATTCCAACACTTTCGTGGGAGGCTGAAATGGGCAGATGACTTGAAGCCAGGAGTTTGAGACCACCCTGGCCAACATGGTGAAACCCCGTCTCTACTAAAAATATAAAAATTAGCCAGGCAAGGTGGCACACGCCTGTAGTCCCAGCTACTTGGGAGGCCGAGACAGAAAAATCACTTGAGCTTGGGAGGCAGAGTTTACAGTGAGCAGAGACAGCACTACTGCACTCCAGCCTGAGCGACAGAGGGAGACTGTCTGGAAAAAAAAAAGAAAGGAAAAACAAAGAGAGCAGTCAATGACGTCTCAAAGGTTATTAGCCAGCGTCTTTCCTATTATTAAGATGGAAAAAAAAAAAAAAGGCAACAGGAACAGTAATGAAGGGGAGCTTGCTAGTCTTCTCCTGCCATGTTTGAGTTGCCTATCATCCATCTCAGTGGAGATACTAAGTGGGTGGCTGGATAAAGGTCAGGGGTGAGGCCTGCAATGGAGATATAAATATGGAATCTGTTAGCCTCTGATATGTAGGTATTTAGTGCTATGAGCCTGGATGAGATCACCATGAATGAAAATAAAAATATTGCAAACACCAATGCACAAAGGAGGAGAACTGAAAGAAAAAAAGAAGAGAAGCTAGGATGACCGAGGATATCCTCCTACATCTCCCAGAAAGAATACAAAAAGACCCTCGCTTTTGCTCAAAGACAACGCAGTCAAAACAAAAAATAAATAAAACCTCCTTCCCACACCTAACAGAAGGGCAAACCCAGACCACAGGCTCTGTCAACGGGTCTTTCATACTTTCAGCAAAGACTCATGGGCCCAGCCCCATAATTTTTTCAAAAGAAACCCAGTGAACTTGGGCATCGCCTTTGCAGAGAACGGGATGGAGCAGGCACAGAGAAGGGTGGGCCACTCCTGGCTTCCAATCACTAGCATCCTCCTGGATGTACAAAAGACAAGCCAATGTTTGGGAGAAGTTCCCCTCGCCCCAAATATCCGTTCCCTCGCAGGGCAACGCCTCCCTAGAGAGTGTGTCCACGAGGGGCAGGCGGGCAGGCAGGAAGGAAAGCAGGCAGGGCGGGCTCGCGGGGCATGAGGTGGATGTGAGGGCAGGGGCATGGCGCGAGGGCGTCACAGTGGAGAAGGGGGAGTCGGGAGGCCTAGGTTCTGCATTCAGAAAGTGGGCGGACGAAAGGCACCCCCAGGTCAGCAGCCCGACTCTAAGCTTCGGGGGCGGCTAGACAAGGCGTTTTGTCGCCGGCGTCAGGCGTGCCTGGCTGCCCTGAGGAGAACGGGAAGTGTGAGCGGAGGGGCTCCGAGCGTGACGAATGCGCTCCACCCAGTCACGGGGTCCTGGGTTCAAGGACAAGCCCAGGGTCGGAAGGACGCGATCAGAGACACCCTTACCTTGTACAACAGCTGTCTCCACCGCTCGGGTACCGGCTAGAGTACGCGGCAGCAGCTTCTCGCGCCGCTCTTCCCCGCTTCCTGATTGGCCAAGGCTGGCCGCTCCCAGAAGTCCCCGCGCGGCGCGCCGCCAAACGAACTTTATGGAGACCCGTGGGGGAGAACAAGAACAGGGGCGGGGCCGGGGGCGGGGAGGAGGCGGGCCCTTGGGCCGAACCGTCACGCCTTGGGCCCAGGCAGCCACAGCCCTCACCTTTCTCTCTTGATTAGAGTCGGCTCTGTCAGGAGAAAGCGATTCTAGAATTCCTTAAGTTAAAGGAACTTCTTACTCCTTGAGTGCGAAGGGCTGGGCCCTAGTCTACGAGCTGGGAACACAGTGGCGACCACGACAGACAAGATCTCTGCCCTCATGGAGTTCCCAGGCTGGAGGAGGTAACAAAATATAATAAGTAACTGCAGTTTGCAAGAAGTGCTATGAAGAAAAAACAGGGTGATGGGAGAGAGAATGCTTGGATGGTCAAGGGAGGCCTTTCTGTGGTCGTGGCATCTTGAGCTGAATAAAGAAGGATGAGAAAGGGTGGGGCTTGCAAAGTTCTGGCTTCAAAGAATTCCAAGCAGAGGGAACAAGAGTGAAATCTCCAGGGGAAGCCAGATTAGTGTTTGGAGACTAGAAAGAAGGGGTGTGTGGCTGGAAGATGGTGAGCGGGGGCAAGTGGGGTCAGACTCATCCATAGACTGAATGGCTTATACACAACAGAAATTTATTTCTCACAGTTCTAGAAGCTGGGAAGCCTTAGATTAAAGCACAAGCAGATTCAGTGTCTGCTTAGGGCCTGCCTCCTAATTCATATATAGCCCTTAATATAGCTCGGCTCTATGTCCCCATCCAAATCTCACCTCGAATTATAATCTCAATAATCCCCACATGTCAAGGGTGAGACCAGGTGGAGGTAATCAGATCATGGGGGCAGTTTTCGACATGCTGTTCTCGTGATAGTCTCACAAGATCTGATGGTTTTATAAGCATCTGGCATTTCCCCTGCTTACACTCATTCTCTCTCCTGCCGCCCTGTGAGCAGGTGCCTTCCACCATGATTGTAATTTTCCTGAAGACTCCCAGCCATGCAGAACTATGAGTCAATTAAACTTGGTTTCTTTATAAATTACTCGGTCTCAGGTATTTCTTCATAGCAGCATGAGAACAAACTAATAAAGCACTCTTCTCTCTGTAACCACACACAGAAGAAGGATGAGGGAGCTCTCCAGTATTTTTTTTATAAGGGCTCTAATTGAGGGCTTCACTCTCATGACCCAATCACCTACCAAAGTTCTCACCTCCTAATACCATACCATTAGGGGGCAGAATTTCAACATATAAATTTGAAAGGGGAGGACACAAACATTAAGAAGTCTATAGCAACTAGCGTCCAACTTTATTTATTTATTTATTGAGACTGAGTCTCACTCTAGGGCTGGAGTGCGGTGGCACGATATCAGCTTACTGCAACCTCCACCTCTGGGTTCAAATGATTCTCGTGCCTCAGCCTCCCAAGTAGCTGTGATTACAGGCACCCGCTACCACACCCAACTAGTTTTTGTATTTTTAGTAGAGATGGGGTTTCACCATGTTGGCCAGGCTGGTCTTGAACTCCTGACCTCAAGTGATCTGCCTGCCTCAGCCTCCCAAAGTGCTGGGATTACAGATATGAGGGACCATGCCTGGCCACTTTGTTTATTTTTAATACCTCACACCAGCATATTGTGAGTTCTCTATAAATAATTGGTGCTGATTAACAATATGTATGGATGTGGCCTTTGTCCTCAAGCTATTAAATATGTAACAAGACCCTGCTGTGGCCAGAGAATATCCACAAAGATAATAGTGTCTTGCATCTTGTGAGAGATGGGAAAGTTATTCTTCAAAGTTTATATCTTAGACTACATTATAAGGAGTTATAATCTCTTGCTTTATGGCCATTATCTGCTATTAGCATAAACATACACCCATGTATATATATTCTCTAAATCAGCTACATCTTAAATCGGCTATCTTGACTCGCTCCGGCACGTCTGAACAGAACTGGACAAGCTCCAAACCCTGGTGCATGCCATTCCTTATTTGGAAACCTCCTGAGCTCCTGACTAGCTTCCTCTTCTTCCTTGTCTTCTTCCCTCCTTATCTGTTCAGGACATTTTCAAGTTTTTAGCCAAACGGGTCAAGCATAGAATATGAGTCCCATTCTGGCCAATGGAAACTGGACACAGCAGTAGGGCAATTGCGTCAGGTTATGAAAGTTATAAATGTCCCTGTCTCCTTTGATCAGGTGTGCTCTCGTGGCAAGACTGCCAGCAAGTTGCACCCTTTCTGCAGAAAGTAAACTAGCCTTGCTGAGCAATCCATTGTCTCGTTGTTGGATTTTCCCCAACATTATAAACCCATTTCCAGCACATCTGAATAATGTTTCATACTTTTGCCTTGCTTTTCCTTTATGTAAAAAAAAGAACTTTTAATGACATAGACGAATGCTTGTGCAACATTGCCAAATGAAAATTCAGGACACTTGCCTTTTAAAGTTGAATATTTCTACATTGTAAAACCCAGCATTTCTACTCCTAGATATATGCTCTGGAGAAGCTCTTACACATATGCACCAGGCGATATAAGCAAGAATCTTTATAGAAGCACAGTTCATGTTAGCAAAAACCTTGAAATGAGCCAAATATCTGTTAACCAAAAAAAAAGGATTAAAAAAATGGTGGGGTATTATGCAATGGAACATTACACGGCAGTGAAAAATTAACATGCTTTAGCCATAGATGCACCATGGATGAATCTTGAAAATGTAATGTTAAATGGAAAAAGTAGCTAGGCGTAGTGTCTCACACCTATAATCTCAGCACTTTGGGAGGCTGAAGCAAGAAGGTAACTTGAGCCTAGGAGTTCAAGACCAGCCTAAGCAACATGGTGAACCCCTGACTCTACAAAAAATACAAAAAAATTGGCTGGGTATGGTAGCATGCACCTGTAGTCCCAGCTACTGGGGAGGCTGAGGTGGGAGGATCACCTGAACCCAGGAGGTCAAGGCTCCAGTTGAGCCGTGGTCGCGCCACTGCACTCCAGCCTGTGCGACAGAGTGAGACCTCATCTCAAAAACCTTGCAGTTTTCCAGATGGTCTTCCTATATTCTTTCCTAGCCCCAGAGATAACTGCAATCTGACATTTCCTATTTACCATTCCAAATGTTTTATAGTTTTATCACAAATGTATCTGTGCATAAACAATATATATATATTTTAAGAGAACTGGATGCATTGGCTCACTTCTGTAATTTCAGCACTTTGGGAGGCCAAGGTGGGAGGATCACTTGAGCCTTGAAGTTCAAGATCAGCCTGGGCAATACAGTGAGACCTCCATCTCTACAAAAAAAAAATTAATTAGCCAGGCATGGTGGCTCATGGGGTTGTAGTCCCAGCTACTTGAGAGGGTGAGACAAAAGAATCACTTGAGCCCAGGAGGCAGAAGTTTCAGTGAGCTGTGATCGCGCCACTGCATTCCAACCTGGGCTACAGAACAAGATCCTGTCTCAAAAATAAATAAATAAATACATAAGAGACAAAGAAAGAGAGGATATCGAAATATGATTAAGTGAGAATGGTATCTCTCCTGGCTGGGGAAACCAAAAATGAGCCCTTAAAAGCTAGTGTACTTTTCAAAGTTTCTCCAATGAAATGACCATGCATAACTCCCTTAATCAGAAAAAAGTACACTAAAACTGAGCTGGTTGGCTTTGTTATGTTGGCACAGAGTTACAACATCACCTTCCCAATATTTGCCCAGGTATATGGTTCAAAGAATTTCCTTTGAGGATTCTGAACTCACCTCCAATTCCACTCCATGAACTGTCGTCTTGTCCAAGTGCCACACAGAGAGGAGTTTCTATCTCCTGGTGGCAAGATCTGTAACAGAGCTATTTCTGGAACTGTTTCTGTCAATTAATTATATAGCTTAGAAGAGCTTTCTTAAATATGACTTTATCTGAGCTCAGAATCTTTCAAAAGCCTTTGCCTTGAGAATTATTCTGCGATGTGCCTCAGAGCCCCTGCAGGGCCCTTTTCTCAGTGGTGGGGATTTTCAAACTCTTTTTTTTTTTTTTTAATTTATTTTATTGCATTTTAGGTTTTGGGGTACATGTGAGGAACATGCAAGATTGTTGCATTGGCACGCACGTGGCAGTGGGATCTGCTGCCTTCCTCCCCATCACCCACATCTAGCACTTCTTCCCAAGCTCTCTCTCCCCAACTCCCCTCCCCCCACTGTCCCTCCCCTATTTCCCCCCAACAGACCCCAGTGTGTAGTGCTCCCCTCCCTGGTGTCCATGTGTTCTCATTGTTCAACACCCGCCTATGAGTGAGAACATGCGGTGGATTTTCAAACCTTTTCCTACTTAAAAGGCAGCTGGGTGGTAGAGGGGTGTCCTTATCTTCCCTCATTTAGTCCTGCTGGGTCCCAAACATTCTTTAACAGAATCCTGTTTTTCAAAGGGAGTCTTTGCTGGAATCTTGTATTATAACACAGATTTGCATGTCTCCTATACATACCAAGTATATAATTGTACTGTTTTTGACTGCATAATCATATCAAACAAACACAGGCCTTTTTACTCTTGTCTGGTTGAATTGTGCTTTTTGCTATTCTTAGTCTTCAGTTGAACTCATTGAGTATATGGGATGTGCATTCAATACACTATACTGTATTACCAGACAGTGACTCTCTGATGGACATCTGCTGTTTTAACATTTCAATTCCCCTGTGGAGCGCTCTTGCCCCAAATCTCAGTCCCTGTGTTTTGATTGGTGGCATGTGACTGAGGCCTAGCCAATCAGAGCAGAGTACTGCAGTAGCCTGGCCACAGCGACTGGTCTAGGAATTGGTCTATAACCCAGTAGGGTCAAGAAAATGCATTCTTAAGATGTTCTGCTCAGACAGTTCTCTTTGTGGCTGAAATAAATTAGAACTGTGAAGATGTTTTTGTAGGCATTATCATTCCTTAAAAATTGTTAATTGTTTGTTTGTTTATTTTGAGACAGATTCTCACTCTTGCCCAGGCTGGAGTGCAGTGGCACAATCTTGCCTTGCTGCA